TTGTGGGTGCGGGGTGGGGAGAGCCAAGGGGGAGTTAATGGGCCAAACTGGGTACGGTTTGTTTGAGGCATCTCTGCTTTTAGCGACCTTTAGGGGAAAGAGCTCAGGGCTTTGGCTTAGTGTCCCCAAGAGTTGGGAACCAGGAGTTGGAAAGGTCACAAACTCAAGCTGGAGTTTAAACTGCTGCGGTGAGGCAAGTGGCCTTAAACGTCACTGACTTGATCCTTCTGGGTCTCAGGTGGCTCCAGCTTAAGAGGAGGAATGACAAGCGGACGATGGGGTGTTGATCAAGGCGTTCTGCAAGATGTGAGCAAACGGGGATTTCCTTGGACAGTCCATGCGCGAGGTCCCCTAAGTGCAGACGCCTGCCCTGGATCTTCGAGCTGGCAGGAACCTTTCGACGAAGGGGGACTCCTTATATTCGCAGCGTGGCACACGTCCCTTCGTGGTTCTTGCAGATCAGCTTCAGCCCTGCGGTCAGGGACAAGACCCTCCTGGGCAGAACCCCCGCCTGTCTCACGCGCGGTCACCCCCTCACTCTATGGTCAATCCCCAGCCTCCTGGCCATTTGGAACATCCACTTCTCTTTGGCGGACTCCTCTTGCAGACAGTGCTGGGGTGGCAGGGCGAGAGAGGGTGCGTGGAGCAGGTGCGAACACGTGGGAGCCTAGGAGACCTCCAGGTTCTCTGGGGAGTACCGAGAGAGAAGCACATCCCTTTCCAGATGGACGCAGAATTAGAAGACTGGAATTTTCCTCTCTGTAGCAACAGGTGAAAACCCAGAACCAAGGTACCCATTCTCGTCTTTCATAAAATATTGTCCGATTGAGCCCCACACTAGCATCTCCGAGCTGCTCCTCGGTAAACGCAAAAGCCCTTTTCCGGAGCTCTTTCATCTAGCTTACGAAGGTGGAAGGTGACGCCAGCCTTTCCGCACTGGGGACTTTTGTTAGGGTTCTACCTAGACATTGTGCCCAAGGCCGGACACAGTTTCCCTCTATGTCCTCCTCCCCCGCCCCGGACAAGTGCAGACGCCCAGTGGACACCCGGCCCTGCGCGGGGCTGCGCTGCTTCGATTGCACTCCCACAGATCTCAGAGGGCCACGTTGTGCTGCGGCTCCGACTCGGTTCCCGCCTTATGAGAACCAGCCTCCGCCAGGTGCCCGGCTAGAAGAGTGTCCTGCCCGGCAAGGCAGATCGCAGCTGGCAGCTCGCCTGAGCAACCCCAGTTTAATGTTCTGCCCCTGGGGGCCTGTTCCCCTGGAAAACCTATACTCTGACTCTCCCGCTCTCCCCAAGGGGCCAGGAAACGTTAGAATCTCGGTAGAAAGGCTAAATGTGAGCGCAGACTGGGGAACGGCGGGCGGGGCCAGGGTTGCTCTTGGGATTGAATTTCTTTTTGCTCCCAACAATCTCTGGCGGTTAAAGCGCAAGTTTGTGCATTTAGTCCACGAAAGGGTTGAAAACCGAGAAAACGATTACAACCCGGGAAATGCGGAGTTTGCTCAGCTGTCTTTGCCGATGGGTATGCAGAAACGCCTGCGATGTGAACTTTCTGCAGATCGCGTATAAAGGGACCGAAAGGAAAGGAAAGGAAGAACGCGAGAGAGGAGGGGAGGGGGCTGCGTGGGCGTGGACTGTACGGGGGTGGTGGTGGTGGTGGTGGTGGTGTCGGTGTGCCAGGGGCGGGGAGTGTCGCGGTGGGGGCATCAACAGGAACAGGCTAAAGAAATTTTGCAAGCTTTGGAAAGGTCGTTGAAGGAGTTCTCTGCACAGAAAAAAAAAAAAAAAAAAAAAAAAAAATTTA